CGCAGAATTGCCTCTGCATACAGAACCCAGTCGGCATAATTTTTCTTGTTGAGCTTAGGAATCCCACAAGCATCCTGAAGGGCCATCATGACTCTGGCATTAGCCTTCGGCGTCATATATGCTGCTTTAAATCTTGCTGCGTCACTGCTGCAGCTGCTTTGTTCCAAAAGCGCACTTAAAAGTTACTTTCGATTTCCCCAGCATAGTAACGTGTCTGGGAGCCTTTTGCCTATTCCCGGCAAAACGGCTTTAAAAGTTCAAAGTCCAGCCATAAAGCAATTAACTAGAAGCTGGCAGGCTGCCCTGAGCAGTAGCACATACCTCATCAATCATGTTTACGCGCAGAGCAGATTCCGATCCGATCTGTCCCTCTGCATTCCGATCCTTTGCCGGCACTCCGATTCGACTTCTGGAGCCCATAACCACGTGTTAGTGTAAAGCAGAGTCTCGTGCCCAGCGGAAGGATGAGGAGTACATACTACATACTCTATATTGCTTTATTTACAGTTCAAAGCTAGTATATTACAGAAAGACATCTTGCCTCTGCCGGAGCAGGAAAAGCATCCTCTCTCCTCGACAGCTTGGAGAGAATCACACAGTGAAAAACAGGAAACCAGTGTACGTCACATCCAGTCTCCCTTTCCCGTGAGAAACTCCAACAGTACAGACTGTGGAATGTAAACACCTGTCTCGTGACAAGCCCTCTCGCTGCACAGTGAAGGAAAGCAGAAACTAACAAGTTCCTGCCACCACTGTAGGCCAAGACGGTGGCTGCATTGGGCTGGAGCCTGCTCAACCACATGCACCTGTGCCTGGAAGCTGAAGTGGGGGCTGTGACCTGGGCTATTGCCAACATCACATGTGGGGGGGGGGGATTGTCTAGCCACCAGCACAGGGGATCTGAAAACAAGAGCTCCAGAGAAAAGCCTTGACTGCTCACAGATTGCTGGGGGCAAGTCCTCTCCCCCCCCCCGGTCCTGGCATACTGGGCACTCTCTTGCATTGTCATGACTTTGCTGGCCCTAAGTGGAGTCCTGGCTGCCTCCAAAGTGGTGGGGGACCATGGAGGACAGCAAGGGAGTCCTGCCTTCCCCTCTACAGGCACCTCAGTATCTCCTAGACCCAGAGTCATCCGAAAGGTCTGCTGAAAGAGCTGGTGAACTCATGGTGGTCTCTCCTCCAGCTCTTAAATCCTTGTTCTGTCCGCTCTTGTCTCTCCCCCCACTCCACACATACTTTTTATTGTGGTCCTGTGGTTGGTTAGCAGAGAGAGGAGTGTTAGGAAGACTGCCAGTTGCCTAGAAATAAAAAAAAATACCCTGCAAAAAATGGAGCGATGCAATAAGTGACCTGTCGTGGAGCTGGGCAAGAAATGAACTGGAGAGAGGTTGTCGGTCCCACTTAGAGAACCCCTTCTCATCGACTTCTTCCTGCCCAGCAAAGTGAATGGGCAGAGACGACCCATTTATGGATCCCCCCTTCTCTGCAGGAAAACCTAGTCAATGCTAGTCAGAGTGGACCCATTGAAATGAATGGACATGGCTAGCGTAGGTCATTAATTTCAGTGGGTCTACTCTGACTTGGTTGCCTACAACCCCCAATTGTTCTTGCTTCCTGTGCTGCTTATAAAAGGTAAAGGTACCCCTGCCCGTACGGGCCAGCCTTTACAGACTCTGGGGTTGTGCGCCCATCTCACTCAAGAGGCCGGGGGCCAGCGCTGTCCGCAGACACTTCCGGGTCACGTGGCCAGCGTGACAAAGCTGCATTTGGCGAGCCAGCGCAGCACACGGAAACGCCGTTTACCTTCCTGCTAGAAAGCGGTCCCTATTTATCTACTTGCACCCGGGGGTGCTTTCGAACTGCTAGGTTGGCAGGCGCTGGGACCGAGCAACGGGAGCGCACCCCGCTGCGGGGATTCGAACCGCCGACCTTTCGATCGGCAAGCCCTAGGCGCTGAGGCTTTTACCCACAGCGCCACCCGCGTACCTGCTTATAGGCTTAAGCAATTTCACCAGCCCAGCCCATTTCCTAAGTTTCCTCAAAATGGTTAAGAAAATGCACACAACACATAATTAGCTTGTGACATTCACTATCATAAGATATGCTTGCTGGCAGTGGCTTCTTAAAAGGATTAAACAAATCCTTGGAGCAAATGTCAATCATAAACTATTAGCTGTAGCAGCAAATCTCCATGTTCAGAGGCCATACGAGAGCCTGGCATAGGGCACTGGCTAACTTTTCGCTGGGGCTTACTCCCTAGTCAGTGTGCTCAGGACTGCAGTCTTAGCGCATAAACAGGTTCTATACTTCCTTCCCTGCAGCAGCGAATGGTTACTGCAGTTATGCCTTTTGCACATGCGGTTTGCTTGCACTACACTCCCATCTGCTGGAGATTTCTTAAAATTTATTTGGATTAATATAAGATTGCCATGTTGGGCCATTATCACAGATTTCACAGTCTGTAAAATAAACATTGGGGTATTTCTGCATATCAGTAGCTGTCAGTTGGATATATGTGACTGCGTACAATCTCACCTAGACAAAGATGGCAAGGTGATAAAGAAAGCTGTGCATACTGATGACCATTTCGTCCTAAATTTCTGGATAACCCACATATACATGATAATATTATTGTGTTTGTGATGCAAGAAAAGAAAGAACTCTGGAAATTATTAGCAAAATAACTGAAACCTAGGCCTACAGCCAGTTCAAGGTAGTACAGTTTTTACTGCTGTTAATTGTATGACTTCCTGTGCAGAACTGGTGTGATATTTCTGATTATGGAACCATTGGAGAGATTATATTTTGAGTGGTGTACCATTTTTTAATCATACTATTGAGTGATTTGATGATGGCCCTTGGCTAAGCAATACAAATTCCAATCTGTTACCTCTGAGGATGTGGACAGGCTGCTTGGATGAGTGAAACCGACCACCTGTCTCCTTGATCCTTGCCCATCTTGGCTCATAAAAGCAAGCCAAGCAGGGCTGGGTAATGGGCCCTGTGGGGTGGTGAGTGCTTCCGTCTGTGACGGAGTTTTCCCAGACCCCCTTAAAGAAGCTGTCATCAAACCACTTCTTAAAAAAACATCTTCAGACCTAGCCGCTAGGGCCAATTATCGCCCAGTCTCGAATATTCCATTCCTGGGCAAGGTAATTGAGCAGGTGGTCGCAGAACAACTCCAGGCACGCCTCAAGGATGCAGACTCTTTGGACCCATTCCAATCAGGTTTCAGGCTTCATCACGGGACTGAAACTGCCCTGGTCATGCTGGTCAAAGATCTCTGGCGGGCAAGGAACAGAGGTGAAAGCTTTTTCCTAGTCCTGCTGGATCTTTCAGAGACTTTTGATACGGTCAACCATGGTATCCTTTGGACTGTCTGGGAGCTGGGGGCACTGTTATGTAATGGTCTCGCTCCTTCCCCCTGGGTCGTGTCCAGAAAGTCATTGGGGGTAAGTGTTTGGACCCCTGGGCTTTCACTTTTTGGGTGCCTCGGGGCTCTATTCTCTCCCTCATGCCTTTCAATATCTTTATGAAGTTGCTGGGGGAGATCGTCAGGGGTTTTTGGCTGGGTGTTCATATAGCTCTACCTCATTTAAATTGGAACCAGTGAAAGTAGTGAATGTCCTATGTGTCTGGGCAGTTGGGGGGTGGATGGTGGCTAACAGGTTGAGATTGAATCCCAACAAGAGAGAAGTACTGTTTCTTGGGACAGGGGGCGAGCAGGTGTGGGGGATTCCCTGGCCCTGAATGGGGTAACTATGGTCATAAAGGACCAGGTGCATAGCCTGGGGGCCATTTTGGACTGACAGCTGTCCATGGAGGGACAGGTTAATTCTGTGTCCTGGGTGGCTGTCTACCAGCTCCATCTGGTACGCAGGTTGAGACCCTACCTGCCCATGAACTGTCTTGCCAGCATAGTGCATGCTCTGGTTATCTCCCACTTGGATTACTGCAAAGTGCTCTACATGGGGTTACCTTTGAAGGTGACTTGGAAACTGCTACTAATCCAGAATGCAGCTGCCACACTGGTAACTGGGAGCAGCCGCTGGGATCATATAACACCAGCCCAAAAGGATCCACATTGGCTCCCAGTATGTTTCCAAACACAATTCAAAGTGTTGGTGCTGACCCTGAAAGCCCTAAATGGTCTCAGCCCAGTATACCTGAAGTAGTTTCTCCACCCCCATCATTCAGCCCGGACACTGAGATCCAGCTCCAAGGACCTTCTGGCAGTTCCCTCACTGCGAGAAGTGAAGCGACAGGGAACCAGGCATAGGGCGTTCCCGGTAGTGGCACCCTCCCTGTGGAACACCCTTCAGATGGCGAGATAAAGAGTTATCTGACTTGTAGAAGACATCTGAAGGCAGCCCTGTATAGGAAAGTTTTTAATGTTTGATATCTTACTGTGTTTTAATTTGTTGGAAGCTGCCCAGAGTGGATGGGGCAACCCAGTCAGATGGGCAGAATAATAATAATAATAATAATAATAATAATAATAATAATAATAATAGCTTATTATTATTATTATTATTATTGGAGCAGCTATTATTATTATTATTATTATTATTATTATTATTATTATTAAGAGTGCAGCTATCTTCTTCCCTACCTTTTCATTCAACTTTTAATCCTTCCTCCTAGCTCAAGGATCAAAAATCTTTTTCATCCAAAAACCACATTCCCGTCTGGGCAGCATCCAGGCAAGTGGGAGGGGAGCATTTGGCACCAGAAGTGAAGGTAGACAGAGCAATGAATGCAAAGATCACCTTTGTACAACAGGCTGCTTTCTAAACACACACACACACACACACACACACGGTGGTATCAGCATTCCAAAGGCAAACCCTCCGGAGGGTGCAAGGCAGGGTCCTCAAAGGGTCTAAGCCGGAAAGAGAGTCCTAGCAGCTGAATCCCGCTCCCAGTGCTGAGGTTCTTCACCCTTGTCCAAGCTGCTTTTTTGCCTCCTTCGGATGAGATAAAATGCAGACAACCCACCATACACGGAACATGTCTTTATTTAATAAGCAAGCAAGCACAAAGTATAATGTGTAGTGCTTAAATATTCTCAACAGTACTAAAAATATAAAAATAAAGTTTACCAAAAGCCGTTTCACTCACAAATATACAAGGAGTGCTGTCAAGCCACAAAATTTTTGACGCCATTTGCCAACACCTTCACTGATAGACAACTGCCTCCCTCTACCCTATGGAAATGATAACTGACGCTTGTCCGTCTTTAGAGATTTCAAGGAGCCATCCTAAAGGAGGGCTGCCAGGGACAACCTGAAGAACAGCCCCCTCTCTTTTAACAACCCCAAAGCTGGCTTTCTGTGCTCTCTCAGCCCCATCATTTGCCAAAATTGCCAGGTTTGTAACCAGGGTGTTCATACGGATGAAGTGAGGCCACCTGTTCCTTCCGTGTGCCCACTCCCACACCTGTAATAAATAGGAATATCACACAGTCCCAGAGTGGGTGTGCAATTGCAGAAATGGCAGCAGGATATGTACCTGCCAAATTCTCCGCTTCATCTGTAAATTTACTACAGTGTGGATCTCCAGGCTGCAATCTTATCTACCAACCCTTTCTCCTCCCATTTCTTGGAGCAAGTAGGACTTCTGCACTGCTCCACAGAGAGGGATCATCCACACAGAGGAAAATGTGGATTTGCACTGGACTGTCTCCCCATTAAGGTAAGGGCATCCACATGATGCCCCCCCCCATCCCAGTGCTGGCCTGGACTCCCCACCACCTAAGTGTGTGTGTGTTAAAAAACCCCAAAAACATTGGCAAGGCTAAAACAAACAGGACTGAAAACCCCCGCATGTGAAAGGGAAAGGCCTGGCAAACACTAGGATGGGGCCCACATTCTGTTCTGGTGCGGACAGGCCCTTTGTGGGAGAAGAGGGTGGGCAACAAAACTGGAACTGGGATGCTGTAGAAGGAACTTTGGGTTGTATCACGGTCCATGACCACTAGGTTGTTAAAGAGGCAAGATGGTTCTCTGGATTGTGGTCTAGCATCCCTTTATTAAATCAGAAAAATGAAAGATAATTGATTCTTATATTAACAAGCAAACCGCAGGCTATATACATAACTCTTTCTGAATAGGTATACGTAAATTTATAGATAGTAAGCACACATCTTGGCTTTCATTCTCATCTTGTGTGTGGCTGCTCTTTTCAGTTTTCAACTGCACGCTCTTAGTTTGTTTTCCACGTCCATCAGAGACGTGATGTTTACTAGAAACTGCTATACTGTGCTTATGTATTAGAGTATGCCTGCTATATCATACATACGCAGTCTTTATTCGCATGGGCACTATGAAGAGATACCGCACCCGCTAAACATTGCTTCACCACCACACGTTGCTGATGGGAGCTGTATTGGCTGCACTGAAAGATGGTTTCAGAAGGCCAGAATTGTAGCTCAGGGATGCCGAATTCTCAAATGTCCACTGTATCTGCAGAAATTAACTTCTCAAGAGGATTCACTAGCAGATCAAGAACAGATTTTCCCATTCTTTCTGGTCAGCTGGCAGACCTAGTCATAACTGATGAATGAGTGTTTGACATTTTATTTTATTTATTTATTGAATTTATATACCGCCCTATACCCGGAGGTCTCAGGGCGGTTCACAGAATTTCCAATCTTAATTAGATTCTCAATTTACGGGGTGGGCCTGAATGCAAGGTGGGAGTGGAGTACATAAGTACCAGTGAGCCCTACTGTTAAAGTCTTGTTTCCGTTTCAGTTCAGGCTCATCTGTACCAGAAGTTGTTCTGGTTTCACTCAAGTTCATGCCAATCAGGGTTAGGTAGGTGGGGCAGCACAACTTCAGAGCCTGCTCCATTCTGGTTCATGTAGGAAAATGGAAGTGTGATTGTATTATGGGCCTCCCTTTACAGGAGTTTTTATGGGTTACAATAAGTTATTTATGCTACAGTGGAGCAGGGCTAGTTAACTGGTCTAATGAGATATAATTTGGGCCTAGTTCCCACTGTGGTGGTAAATCTGTTTCTGGATTGTTGCACTTCAGACTGCAGGTGGGGGCTCATGTGAGATAACGCTTCTCCTTATATTAACAAAACAAAAACAAAAAAAACCCCAGAGAGAAAATTTTGTACAGTATCTGGGAGAAGGGATCTAGTATACCCTTCTTCCTGACAGGCAGCACATGATGCATGCATATGCTTCATGGATGGATGGATGGATGGATGGATGAGCACTCAGTCAGAGGCAATCTCTCCTGCAGCCTCACAAGTCACATCACCTAGGTACAGGTCTGCTACCTTAGTGAGAGCTACGTTAATCTAAATATTTGCTCAGATTCTGTTCTGGTCCAGTTTCAATAGAGACTTTCAAATCATAGTCCAGGCTCTGATGACTGCAGGAAATTTTCTTCTTCTTTTTCTAACATTCAGATTTGTTACGATTCCCGGCCAGACCATGAAGGCAAGTGGATAACCTTCTTCAGTACCATCCCTACTCAGCCTTGTTTCCCCTTCCAAGCCGCACTTGGTGGGTGGATGTCTGAGGGGAGCTGGAATCTGGCAACAAGGTGTGGGGAAGGGGAAATGATTTAGCTCACCCCCACACAAAACTTCCAGTATCCTACCTCAGTACAGATATCCTTCCATGATACAGCTGCAAACACAGCTGCAATTATTCCTCTCAGCTCAACCATCAAGCAGATAACTGGTGTTTGGTTAGCGGAGGCATCTGGGGATCTGAATTTGAGGCACAAGGTGTAAAAGTGTGGGAAACACTGTCCTTATTGTGAGACAATTTGTCAGACAGAACCCCCAATATCTTTGCCATCACCACTGTTTTCTGCAAGCAACTGGAAAATATCTTCTCCTCCAAATTTGTAATAGCCCATAATGGAAAAGTGCTCACTGCCTCATACACAACAGCCCTGTAGAGCCTTTCTGATCACAAATTGAGAAGTTGCTACTAAACGGTTGCTTGGACTTTTCCAATTGCCAGAACCTCTGTTGGAGGGGAACCCTGTTTCCCCAGCACTCAAAAGAGCAAGAGCGGGAAGGGGTAGAAAGCTGATGAGAGACAAAAAAGGAAGAGCCTGCACTTAACCATCACACGTTGTCCTCCTTATCTTAGTTATGAAAGTAACGCTGAGTGCTTGACACGCACACGCTAAGGTAACATTTAGCACATCATTTCAGCCTGTAACCCATTTTCCTTTGAAACAAACTTGTCTCTGGTTCACTGAAATTATTTGAGGTTTCCATGGAAAAGCTTCCATAAAGTATTTTAAATACACAATGACTCTGAAAAGGTATACATCCCTAAACTGTGTATATACTACATACTTTACATGTGTAGAATGTGTTCCATAGCAGTCGGGTATTCCTGGCATTTATCTCTTTTTTTTTAGAATGCTTTCATTTACAGAGGAAGGACGTTTTCTCTTATTTGTGTTGACTCTGTTTAGGAACAATGCACCGGGAAGTTCTTCTGAAGGAGCCCTAGCGACATGAACGAGAGTGGCAACTGTGCAGCCATCTTCCCTCCAAGGAAATGGGTTGGGGGCTTTTTAGCAGGACTGACCTATGGCATTTTGCTGCCTGAGGTGAAGGGCAAGATGGTGCCCCTGCCACTTACAGAAGCCAATTCAGAAAGGCAGTTAATTATTAATCCAGTCGTGGTGACGGGGCAGCATCCTCCATGCTCACACCTAAACCAGCAAGCTAGTTCAGGGGTCAAGACATGCTGTGTACAGCTCTGCCCTCCAACGCAGCGGAATGGCTGGGGGACTTAAGAGCTACTGCCTGCCCCTCCAGCACCTACCACCTAAGGTAGTCACTTCACTTTGCCTAATAGTAGGGCTGGCTCCGCTTCTTAATTTAGGGGAAAAATACAAGTAAGGCACCATGCTCATGAATGTGCCACCTTTGACTCGGATAACCTCCCTCTCAATTCCCTTTCCTTGCCTTCTGGATTATAAACCTAAGGGGCAGATACTTTGTTGTTCTTAAATCCATCATTTCACAAATCAGTTGTGCAAAGAAGTGCATAGAGCTTTCCAGAATGGGCTGAAGTGAGCTCCATGATCCTTTTCTGAATGCTGATTCCCTCAGGTAATATCAGCGCAGTGCCTCACTGCTGATCTGTTTAAGCAGCTCTGGGAGTCTTTTGTTGAATTTGGGGGCAAAAGTGCTTTAAGGAAACAAACTTACTTCTGAATAAGCACCCCCCCCCCAAGTGCAGTCCTATCCCCATCTTACCTGGGAGTAAGAATCTGATTGAACAAATTGGGCCTTACTTCCAAGTAAAGCGCACGTGGCCAGTTCCAGGTTGGGGCTTGGCAAAGGTTTTGGTCTTGCTTTAATGTCTCTATTGCCTGTTTGGTTGCAAGCTGCTCTGGGTTGCCCTGGGCGAGATAAAGTAATGAGCAAGTAAAAATAATTTTACAGCTGTGAATGGTGCCAAGACAAAAAAGAAGCTCATTTTCCCCCTCTCATGTCCAAAGAGAAAGAAGGGCAAGAGGTTCAGAAGAAGCAATGGGGTGGGTGTTATTTCTTCATACAATGCATCATTAACTTATGGAATGAAGGGCAGTGAGCAGGTGATGCCCACAAACCAAGAAAGCTTGTTGTGCCTTTATGCGTGTGTAAGCCAGGGGGGTCAGCCCAGGGCCACACCTGAAAAGCAAACACTGAACTAGGTGGAGCACTGACACAATCTTGCAGGGCTCTTCTTACCTTCACTTCCCAATGCACGGTGCCTTTTTTTTTTTTAAGTATTGATATGTGCAACAGGTATAGTGTTGTGTCCAGCAAGTAATAAATGAATGCAGAAAGCACTTCTAGCTGGGATCCCGATATCAGAATCATGCACTTTTGCTTTATGCTTTATAAATAAAAGTCAAATGTGAGGTCACACTTTCCCATTTTCTGTTTGTAAACCAAATCAAACTTCTCATTCATGGAGACAGTGAAGATGTCTTTCCACAGCCCAACACGTCCTGGAAAAGAGAGAGAAATTGAGAACCAGAAATTAAGCCGATAATCATTGACAGGATGTGGCAGGATCTGTTAACAAAAACAGCAAGTGTCGTCCTCCAAAAGGGCTAGAGAATCCCCCCCGCCCCGCTTGCTGGTCACTCTCTTTGCCCCTGTTGGGCAGGGGTGGGGAGCATCAGGCATGGGGGCCAAATGCACTCCTCCAGGCCTCTCTGTCTGGCCCTTGAGCCTCTCACCAAGCCACTCCCCCATAACCAGGCCTGCTTCCCACCCCCTGGAGAGCTTTGGCTTGTCTGGAACATGTCGTTGAACTCAAACGCCTCTTGTTTGCCTGCATAGGGGAGAATGGATGGGGCTGGCTGTACAATTGCCTCGCCCACTTTGGCCTCTGGACCACTGGCGGAGGAAGGGGGTGCGGTCCACCCTGGGTGTCATCCCTGAGGAGGGGGGACATCACCGCTGCCCCCGGGACGCTTGCCGCGGGCAGCACCCCCCTGGGACACTCGCAGCTCGCCATGGCGATGCCCCGTAGGTGGCTATCCCGCCTGGATGCCCTAGCAGCTAGCTCCACCTCTGCTCTGGACCCAGCCCACCAGTGACAGACGCCCCCTAGAGGCTGCCTAGAAGGGTAAAAAAGGTCCCCCACCCCTACATTATTAGAGGCACAATCTCCCCCTTTGGATGTGACTGGCAACACTCATGCCCACAAAAATGTTGGCCGCCACGGTGATAATTTAAATAACAAGTATTATATTTTGCGGATAACCATTTTCCAAGGATGTGTATGGATAGTTGGTCGAAGAGTCACCCACCTGGGTTCATGAAACTGTGATTTGTGATGGGATATGGAGCAAATGTAAGGAACGTAAGCTAACGCATGGCCTGCTCTCACAGCAGCGGGGGGTTATCTTCTGAGTAAAGGTCAAGGAGCTAAAAGTGGAGGGAAAATGAAAGAAACCCAACATAAAGCAAAATAATGAAAATGTAGCTGGTGGTAAATTAAACAAAGCAATAAACTAATTTTAAGCTGATCACAGAATTTTAAATTGCACAAACAAATGAAAAAAGGCAGGCAGAAAACACATATCAATATTTAGGCTGGATTTTGAAATACGGAAAATTATCACAAATGCAAAGCAGCAACACAAACAAATTTTAAAAAAGAAGACATGTATGGATAAAAGGCAGGCAGTGAATAAGTTTGAGCATATATTCTGAGAGAAAATGTCTAGGCCAAATGAAGTTCATTCTGGAGGTCGGCTGTTTAAGGGTAGGACAGAGTGCCAGTCCAAAGGCAGTAAGGTGAAACAAAGAGAACAACTGTGGCCAGACAGAATTAGCAAAAAGGTGACAATTTGGTTGTTCCTCTTTTGGATACCTTGGGCTGAAGACAGACCAAAGAAGGTGGGAGAGACAGAGCCACTGTATCCTCTCTTCTGCAAACACATTCATTACACTTCCAATAAGCTGGTATTGGTGTTTGTGGGACAAACCAAATAAATATGTGCTCCACAGTGGCAACGTCTCTGGGCCATACTAGAAGTGACAGTGGCAGTTCAGTTTGTCTACACATGAAATAGGGAGGGGGCAATGAGGGGGGGAGAGAAGAGGTGTGGAAGATCAAATTTTAAAAGTGACAGGTGTTCATCGGTGAGGAGAGCCGAGCCGTTGTAAGGAGGGAAGTTCCATTTTTCTTAATCATTTGCAAACCCCCCTTTCTAGATCATCAGAACAGCTCATATCTAGGAGGGTCTTCTTCTTATGCCACATTCCACACTCTGAAGAGGTGATGGGCTGTCTCCAGCCCAAGAGGCTCAGTGCCAAGATGCTTACTTCCATTTGTCTCCACTGTCCTACTCTGTCGGTTTCCTTCTATTCCCCCAACAGCCCATTGGAAAAGCCAGCGCATTTTGAGCCAATCCATACATCAGGAAGCATGTGGTACAGCTCTTCCATTGACAATTTCCCTTTCCCAAACCCAATGGTAAAAAAGGACCAACAGAAAACTAGTATGCGGTGGAATCATCCTGAAGCACTATCTTTCCATGCTTAGGGAAGTAGTTTTTAAAAAAGGGGTGAAAAAATCCCAGGGAGCATTTCAATATCTACAAATATAAACTATTGCTTTCCAGTCCCGAAAAGGTTCTACTACATGCTTCTGAATCTGTAGGCAAGGTCCTTGGCATCATAGTAAGTATCTGACGACAGAGAAGGGTGCAGCACTTCTATTTCAACCTCTGTGTCTGCAAGTGCCGCAATTGTTGAGGCCCACAGCACCTGCCTTCCACTTTTACAAATATTTGCACATACCCCTGCCCACAGGAAGGGCTTCTGCATTGCAGCACTGGTCAATGAGCTGGTGACAATGTTCCACCATGGACTCCAGCTGTGCTTTGTCGTAAGAGACGCCCAGGAACCTCGCCAGCTGTTCGACCATAGTTGCCAGATCCTGTGACGAAAGATTATGTGCACGTGCCAATAAAGAGAAAAGCCAAAAAGAGGGGAACGTTTAGCAATAACAAATGAGCCCTGCAAGCAGCCATAGAAGTACCGTATTTTTCGCTCGATAACACGCACCGGACCATAACACGCATGTAGTTTTTAGAGGAGGAAAACAAGAAAAAAAATATTCTGGGAGGGAGGGAGGGAAGGAAGGAAGAGAGGGGGAGAGCTCACATTTGTGCAGCTGCCTTGCCTCGAACCGGAGCAAAAAGAGGAGGAGGAGACGCAGGGACACGAGCCTTGTAAGCCGCTTTGTTTGAATTTACTGGTGAGGTGCTGGGGGAGGGACGGAAGGGGATGCCCTCTTTGTCCCTCCTTCCGGCTCATTGTGAAGAAAGCAGAGTGAGAGCCGCTTACATGTGTGTAAGCGGCTCTCCCTTTGCTTGAATTACAGTCAGCCCATCAGACTATAAAGTCACCTCGCCAAAAAGCCATAGAGCAGGCAGACACGGAGAAAGAGAGGCTCTCCCTTCTCCCACCTTGGCTTTTACACGCTGCGCTCAGCTTTTGCCGGCTGCAGGCAGACACGGAGAAAGAGAGGCACCTCTCCGAAAAGCCTGCAAGAGCGGCTCCTCCCACCTGCATTCGCTCCATAATGCGCACACACATTTCCCTTTACCTTTTAGGGGGGGGGGAAACTGAGTGTTATGGTGCGAAAAGTACGGTATGTGTTAGCAGAGTCGAGAGCAGCATCCTAAAATCAGTGGTATAGACTCATTTTTCAGGTCCTAACTAAAGCAGCTGAATAGCTAAAATCAGATTTAAAGATTCCTTGCAAATGGCTTGTAATAGCGTTGTGAATATCAGTTTCCTACTGTAGGCGAATGACAATAGCCTAACTAGATATAAATGCTCTAATCCAGACAGGCATTCCCTAGGGGGGAACCGTGGCATGAATTGGTAGGCACTGCCTGTGTGGATTCTGACACTAACCAAGCCCCATTCATATGCCCCTGCTCCGTGCACAGCCATCCCAACAACAGCAGCCCAGGCCATTTATTTTGCAGGGGGGGGGAGCAGAGGGCTCAGTTTAGGGCCACACCCTATCACAAACCAGTAGTAGATGGCTAGAAGTTTGAGAGGGCTCCTGTTCACTCAGCTCCATCTCACAGATTGGACTTTTTATGGTGAGAGCTGCCCACAAACATCCCTCTGCTCTGAGGGGGCAAAGTTGGAAACGGGACAAATAGTGTGTCTAAAAGGTGCTCTCTTTCAAAGGCAAAAGGGATGAAGGCTCCCCTAACACCCACACCCAGGGTCCTGAGCACACCTTGCACAAGGAAGACAATTGACTGGCAGTTTAATTCTTTATTGACAAAGCACAAACTTACAGTTCTCTGTAATTAGGAAGCTGACCCCCCTCCCCACTTGAGACGCGCTCTGAGCTAGACTGGTGGAGCAACAGCGTGGCCACATAAAAACCCAAACTTAAGTACTCTTGTCTGAGAGACTGAGAGCAAGCAACCTGTGACTTCTCCTACCCAGAAGCTGTTGCTATGCTTGGCTCTTCAAGCCCTTCCTGGTTCTAGGAGACATCAGGGGAGAAGACAGAGTGGGAAACGGGATTCGGCGCCGTCACCACCACCCTGCCCTTCAGGCAGTGTCTCTCCCTCCACTCCTGGTGAGTTCTGTTCTTCCTCCAGCCCTGGCTCCTGCTCTGTGTTCCATACTCTGTGTCCGACACCCCTTCCCACCCTCCAGCTGCTCAGACCTCTCCCCAGCTCTGACTGCTACCTTTCTGGAGGCACAAAACCCTATGAATCACTACTCCCTTCCCCTGGATCAGCCTCTGGCCCTGCCCTGACAGTCCTTAAGGCACACACACACCAGAATGGAGGAAACTGTCTGCCAGCCTCAGAGCCCTGAAATGGCTTACTAATTTTCATTGTGATCCTGGCAAGGCTTCGGATTTGCCAAATTTGCCCCTCCATTCCATTTGGATTGCTTTGTTGTTTGCTTTCTTTTATTCATTTGACTAATGTGCTTCTCCTGCAATTTAATACCCCATCTCATTTCAGAAACTGATTCTTATAAAATATAAGTATCACTGCAAGTCACAAAATTCCATTCAATGGTAATTGGTATCAGTGAGGAGGGGATCTCCAGTTCTGATCAGAGATACCCTGGGGTGGGATGGGGGGAGTCCATAGGTAACAAGGGAGAGGGGGGAGCCTTTATACAATATGAGTTTACCTTGTGCATATCTTCATACTTGAGAAAGAGAACATTGGAGTCCATGTGATGTTGCCAAAACTCCTGCACATGTTCAAACCATGAACCGTATCCTACTGTAGAGACAGGAAATAGAATGGCTAATACGCAAGGACATCACTTTTAGTTAAATTTCTCTGAAACATAAAAGCTGGAAAGAAGTGCATGAACTGAATTTTGTTGCCTTGTTTTCTAACAAAAACTATTAGAGGAGTATGTACGGTCTTTACAATATAAGTATATTCAGATTTATCCTTGTTTTGAATCATAAAAACCTCTCCAGATTCTGTGTGCAGGCAGTGTGAAAATTAAACATAAGAGAGAGGATGGAAAACCAACAAGACATGTGAATCTGGTTAAGTTGCACTCACCATTTGCATGTTTAAGTCTGAATACATATTTGCTTCTGGTGTAGAACTTGACCCAGTTATGCATGATGGTTCCTACTAAAAGCTGAAACCCTGTACGGTTTAGGAATACATGACCAATGGCCAGCTTGAATGGCGATGTGACAACTCGAGTGGCACAAGGAGTGGTGGGCAGTGGCACCTGACTGGGCCTAATTAATAGCGTCCGGTCTGTATTCCTGCCTGTGTCTCCCATACTGAACAGCTGCTTGTTTCCTGCTTCAGCTCAGAAATGAAGCCACATCAACGCACAGGTAGTTGCACATGTGCTATAAGCAAACTAGAGGTGAACTATGTGGGATGTAATCCACTGGAAGCAGTCAAATACAACATTCCTTGTTTTGCTAGAGTGGACATGCAAGGGAATGTTTGGTCCAGTCAGTTGAAACTTCCTGTTCCTCCTGGCCTGGAGCATCCTTCCTTGCATGTGACTAGTAGGTGGGCCTGACCTTCCCAGACCAGGCAAAAGGCCAAGTCACACAGCCACTTCCCTCTCTTTGACCTTCCTGTTTGTCCTGTCTGCTTCCTGAATCGCCTGGACTGGACTGCTGGCTGCCGCAGCAGTCTCCTGGTTTTCTCCCATATGGGGTAAACCTGTTTGTACATGTTTGTAACTTGAAGCTTAAAGCCTGCCTTCAGGGATCACACTGCACTCTGCCTGATCGTGAGTAAAACTATTTTTTGTTACTTATGGATAAGACTGTGGTGCCTTTATTCTTTTAAGAGGGATTCAACCAGCTTTCTGCTGCGTAAGAAGGGGAATGCACACTGCTAAGTGAAGAAACTTGCTAGCGGAAGTTAGGAAGGTTATTGATAAAGAATATATCCTCTCCTGCCACCCTCAACATTCCCACAAACTATCTACTGTAATATACTTTGGGCACTTGCTAAAGAAGTTGGCTGCCCATGGGGTAAGGCCTCCAGAACTTTAGATGGGACCACCTGAATGATGAAATAATCACCTACCCCTGCCAGCACCACGCTGCCATGTTTTAGCTATGTGGTTAGTGAATGTAACTGGCAGCCCCATCTCTGATATGGAGCTAAATAAATCTTTTGGTAGCACTTGTAATCGTATCTGTCTTATTCTTCCTTCCAATACAACTTTGGTGTCATCATAAAGGGTGCTTCATTTTGTCTATATTCACTCATTGTAATTCCATGGATGCTCAGATGTGCACACCAATTCATTCAGACAGAGGCATCACAAAGGGATTAATTTCAGGGAAGGGACCCAGGCTTTGCATACATTCCTCTGGGAAAGGAAATTTTGGGAGCACCAAAAAGCAATCTCTGAATATATTACAATATATTTAGCGACTTCTGGTGACGTCAGAGAGAATCTTCTGCATCTTACAGCTGCATTTCATGTGAGATTCATCTTTAGCAAGTACCTACGTCAGCCTTCTCCAAGTTGGTGCCCTCCTAATGTTGTTGTACTACAACTCCCATCCTCCCAGACCATTAGCCATGCTGGCTGGAGCTGAAGGGAGCAGCAGCCCAACAAGGCCTTGCAGTTCACAGGTTCCTCATTGCGGATGCAGAGCATCCATCTCAATATCCAAGGTGTGTGGTGGAGGTCCCTCCATCAGGTGAAGGCAAACGCCAACATGAACGGTTTGAACCAGAACTTTAGAGGCATTACAAGCAAGACGGTTTCACACTTTGTTCCTAAGAAGTGGTGCAGAAAAGAATTTGAAACATTAAAAGGTACTGCCAATAGCCAGTGTCAAACTTTCTTACACTTTTCATTCATGAATCTCCGACAGAACTCTTGAAATGTTCCTCTGTAGCTCATGGTTCGTAGGGAGCGGTGAAACTGGTAATAAGACACTACCAGGTCTTTGGGGTTGCGAGCCATGTAGATTACCTAAGAACATGGAAATTATTCATCTTAATCAGTGGATATTTCTCTCACCCTACCCTGCTCCATTTCACAAAACACACAGGGAAGAAATAATACAAAGCTAACCATTCTTACCTTGGACTCACCACTGTGTAGGTCTGAAGGCAAAAAACGATACGGCAGGTGGCTTTTGATGAGGCGGGGAGATGTAAGCTCCTGTAAAATACATGATGGAAAACAAACCAATAAATAATATATCCCTTCTTCTAAGTGATCCAGATTCCTCTTTGTTGTGCTCTTGTATTCATAACTTCCAGTTTCGTATTTCCAGCCAAAAGCTTTGGCGGTTCAGACACCAAATTACTACTACAGGAACATGCATGCTTCGGTTTCTTTGCTATGCAGTCAACACTCCTTTCTGCTGCTCAAAAGAGCCACGTGTTTTCTCTCTGTGGTTGTTACTGGTTTCTGTGCTGCTCCAGTTGTACATGAATCAGGCCACATTCCCAGTGCCTGGGCATTTTGAGCAGCATGTTATACAGAGAGACACAAAACTGAAACCCAAGGTCAGGAAGGTGAGTCAAAAGGGACTGCTGCAGCATTTTAATAACCAATTCCAGCAAACTACTTGCAGAGTTGTTAAGGCCTCACTTTTCCAGCACTAGACTAATACCCAGACTCCATTTCAGAAAAGAGAAGGGGGTCTATTAAAATCCACTGATCAATGGTGTTCTTTCCCATTTAATTCTTCCTCCCTCGTCCACATCATAGATTCCAGTAGGGAAAATATGAGAGCACAGACACTGCACTGCCCTCAGCTGACTTGGAGAAATGTAGAGCAGCTGCTTCCGATGGTTTCATTTTAGCTAGAGAGATGCGCCAATGAAATTAAATAGAACACACCACTTGAGAAAACACACTGGGGGGCAGTTTAAAAAACAACAACAAACTGGTGCTCCTCTCTAGTTACACACCCCTGACTTACGCACTCCATGCAGTTTTAGTATAATGTTTTGATAGGGAAGGATGCCCTGTCTATTGGATAAGGGTGGAGAGCAGGGCTGCTGTGTTGTTTTTGCACATTTCTTGCGATGCAGAAATCCCCTTTGGATACATTTTGCTGCATCTAGCTATCCATTAAATAGACTCCCAGGTGTGGCTTAAAAGCAGGCTGGTGTGGCCATATTCCAGGAAACAGCAAGAAGATATCGAAGGGGCGTTGTCTCACACCTCTTAAGAATGCATGGAGAGCCCTGCCGGATCCGTCCAAAGTCCCGTCTAGTCCAGTATTCTGCACTCCCAGTGGCCAACCAGATGCCCTTCCATGCCTGTAATGCCCTTCTCCTGAAACAGCCACGTGCTCAGTAAGTGGTGGCAATAAAGAACTATTTCTCTGGAAAGGTGGCAAGTCTCCTTTCCTGACCTCCTTGAGGGGAATTTTTGAATTGTGATTTAATATAATTCTAGAGCATTTAAACCATGAAAAGTTATCTTTAAATAATGGGTGGGACGGGGAGGAAATCTAAGAAACTTAAAAAAATAAAAATCTACCCATCCACCCACCTTCCAGGGTATATTTTCATTTAAAACAGCGCTTTGCAAGATTCAGGTTTATGATGCTATATGCCAGTGATGTGTTTCATGTTAAGTTGGTACTGGAAAAAACATACTTCATGGATTTTGTCGGGTTCAAGCTTGATAAAAATTTCTTTCATTGCATAGGTTTGGACTAGATGACCCTCATGGTCCCTTGCAATTCTAGAATTCTGTGATTCTAAGTCCCTGCCAATAGACTTGCAGTCTAATAAAACATGAAATACAAAAGAGGAAAATGGAAAAAGACTGCAAATGATGAAGAGAAGAAAGAGCCTGAGTTAAAACCCAAATCAATGTGTTTTGAATATTTTCTTAAAAGACAACAAAGAAAAGACCTGATGAATTTCCAAATTCTGACGGGGGAGAATACACAGTTCCTCTTTGGCAATTCCTGGTAACATGCAAAGCAGCTGCCTTGGGACACTCCACTTTCACAACAAGAAAGGTAAACCGGTGCCTCTCGCTGAAGCACTTAAGCAGCTGAGTATTATCTGAAAGCATAATATATCTTACAAAAATGCTTTAGCAAACTATTAGGGCAACCCAATAAATTATGAATCATTCCAGTACACTTAAGGGGAATTAAAAGGGAGCTCTGAAAATGGAAGCCAAATAAGCAGAGGTAAAATGAAAATAATTGCAACTGGTCAAGATGTTTTCAGTCGATTAAGACGTACCTTGATAATGTCCAGTCCAGGCTGAGGATACTCTAGCACTGGAAGCTGCTCATCTATGTTCATTAACCCAATTTCATCAGGATCGGCTCCCTGGCTCACCAAATACACCACTTCCTGCAATAAGCTGGTGCCTGCAAATCAAATAAACATGAGATAACAGATGGCAATCCAGACATCATTTGCTGGAAGGGGTCGATATGAGTGGTAGCCAAGACATCCAGAGGCTAAGATATCACCTCTGGACATAGTGGTTTAAGAACCTTTTAAAAAATTATGTAAGCTATCATCACCTCATGCAGTAAGCTTGGTTGCACACCCATTCTGGTCAAAGATCTGTAATGTGGCACCGAATCATCTCCTTAATTTATATCTGACTGAACAAGGAAAACACTCAGAGGCTGGACATTGCCTCATGAGTGCCCTCTGGATTAGATTTCTCAGGGCTGCTTTTGCTAACTCAATCGTTTCAAAAGTGCAGCAGAAAGCAAATTGCTGCTGATATCTCCCGGAAAGAGGATGTGGCCTCCATTTCCTCCCCATTTCGGCTCCCTGTATAGTATGTTGAAGGAATCCATTAGCTTAAGAGTTCCACCTGAGGAATTTCTGGACGCTATTTTTTGTAAAGTAGTCGGTAAATAGTATTTTTCGCTCCCTAAGATGCACCTGACCATAAGACGCACCTAGTTTTTAAAGGAGGGAAACCAGAAAAGAAAATATTCTGAACGAAACAGTGGATGTATGACTTTTGTGGTTCATGCTGTGGCCACAAGCATGTGATTTGACAGTGAGTTTAGGGTAGCGCAATGCAAAAATCCTGAGGATCCATGTGGATCCGTGCTTTGTAACCACGTTTTGCGCTACTGCAGCCCCAGGAAACAGTGGATGCGTGATTTTTTTGGTGCAGGCTGTAGCCATGGACATGCTATGTGATCGGATGGTGAATTTGGGGTGACCCAATGTAAAAATCCTGAGGATCCATGGGCTTTTATCTCCCCCCTCCCAGGCAGCCTCCTTTATCGCTAGCGTTCCTTATCTCGCTTCTGATCGCTTGCGATCAGCAGCTTTGTTTCAACACCCACTTCACTCTTTCAAAAAAAAAAAAAAAAAAGCATGATCTGCTTTTCGCCCCTGGGCAATTTGGCTCCATGGACCACGCATTTGCTGCATAAGCCACACAGACATTTCCCCTTACTTTTTAGGAAGAAAAAAGTGTGTCTTATGGAGCGAAAAATACGGTACATGACTTAACAGCACTTTGATGAAAATATACAAAGAAAATAAACTAAGAGCTGTTCAACAGTGGAACAGACTGCACCTCCACAGGCACATACTTCCACATGTGGTGGGAGTGCCCCAAAATCCAACTCTTCTGGACAACAGCCATATGAGAAATATGTAAAATAACTAAGCAAGTATTAGACATCACCCCAGAATTGGCCCTACTAAACATCTTCCAAGACAACAATGCCCATTTACACCACAAAGAACTCATAACCCACCTACTTTCAGCTGCCAGAAACACCATAACCAGACACTGTAAGCATGGACCAGTGGTGCCAAATACTATGGGAAACAGCCCTACTAGAAAAAATAACCAACAAACTGAAACTGACACGGGGACAAATAGAAGAAGATACCTTCACCCCTGTATGGCTCCCCTTTATCAAATACACAGCCCAACAAGACAATGACAATAATCCACCAACAGCATACAAATCAATATGGCTAACCTGATCCAAAACACCCACCCACCCCACTCACACACGAAAACAAAGATCGCCACAGCCAACCACAAATGAACAGCCACACCCTAGGCCAACCCCAACCTCTCTCACCACCAAAGGAACACAAATGATCAGCAGAGAACCTACATACATTAAGCAAAATAGAAAAATTGCCACCCGACCCCCCCATCTCCCCCTCCCCACCCCAATGTCTCAACAAATGAAACTGATTTGTAAAAATGTTACATGGAAAAAAATACGAGAGGAATTACATATACGTCTGTAAAACAAGAAAATCTTTAATTTTTTTTTAAAAAAACCAACAACAGTGGAACAGACTCCCTTGGGAAGTGGTGGATTTGCCCTCCCTGGAGGTATTTAAGCAGAGGTTGGGGGCTCCTCTGCCATGGGTGCTTTAGTTGAGATTTCTGCATTGCAGGGGGTTGGACTAGAATAGATGACCCTTGGGGTCCCTTCCATCTCTACGATTATATTCCATGATCTCCCATTCCAGTTTGTGTGGTCCTCTTTCTTGCTGGCTCATATCCTCTTTTGGTATTAATATTAGTATGTGCACATTTTAAGGCAATCCAACAACAAACTATATTCCAAAATTTTGGGGGAGATTTACCTTTTGCAAAAGAAAAAAATCCTGAGCTTTTGCACTTGTATTCCTCTTAAAATTATCCTTTCCCCCCCCAAAAAAAAGTAAAGGTACCTGTATTGACCAATAAGAAAAACACCCACCCCAACTTCCCTGTTAGGGCAATATATTTATCAGACCAATCAAAAATTCACAAACTGGTGTGCCAGCTTTCAGGTTCTTCAGAACACTTCATCAGGCTGGATAGTAAACAAAAGTTAATATTTAGTTTTTGTATCTCCAGAGATGGGGAGTCAGGCAAAACATTTTAATTTTTGTTTTTCCTTCTATGGACATGCAGAAAAAGGCATGGCTGAGCTTCAGTCAAACCTGACACTTCTAATTGCGATGTCTCCCTCCACTGAGAATATTTTTGCAGAATTCACCCCAAGGCAATTAGGGAACTTGACCAGTCTCCTCCTCCCCCTCCCCTGGGGCTCCTACCTTTACGTGGCAACAAAGGAATTATCTCTTCAGGAGCTGATGGCGTAAGTTCCCTGGCTTGGATTTCTCATTCCTTGGGTAAAAATCCCTTTGCCTGTGTCTGCCAAGGCTCATGGGAGAGAGTCAGCAGGCAGACCCAATGTTGCTGCTTTTTGTTCCTTGCACAATTCAAAATAATGGCCTCTTTTAAAAAGTAGGGGCTGACCTGTGTTAGAAACTGAGATATGAAAGTGAGGAGCTAAATGGCACCGTAAACGTAGGTTATGGGCACAACAACGGCATGTCTAGGCACATTTTTTATAACAAGAATATGAAGCTAAAAATGAATGAACTGCAGCTAAAATATTATGTTCGTTTTTCACGTGGTCTGGTCCGTCCCCTGCCCACCCCCCACCCCCTAATATTCTTAAGAGGATCTCTTCTCCAGTCTTCACAGTGTAGCTGGAAGTGGGAAGGCAGAAAAAGGTCCTCCTTTCCTTCCACTCTGCAGTTTTAATCTGAAATCTTCAGCACAGTACTGCACCCAGAGCTCAGAAACTGCTTGCACTAATGAAATGCCCTGTCGCAAAATGCGCCTGGAACAAGGGGAGTTTGGGACACTGGGCTGACATACGTCAGCTCCAGTCAGTGGCAGAGGAACCCTCCCCGCACCCGGGGCAACACAGCCCGTACAGACTGCGCATGCTCGGAAGCCCATACAGTCGCCGTGCGCAAGAGCGGCAGCACGTACAGATGGCGCGTGAGAGGTGCCCATACGGACTGCAGGCGCCCTCAGCCACTCTACAGTTGGGGAGAGGCAGGGGCCATCTTGTCACCCCTCCCAGAGTGGCACGCGGGGTGGCCCTCCCCCTCCGCCCCTGCTTCCTACGCCACTGGCTCCAGTCACTATAAAAATTGATAGTTGTGGACACATCTTCCCATATACAGTCAAACCTCAGGTTACAGATGCTTCAGGTTGTGCGATTTCGGGTTGAGCACTGCGCCAATCCCAGAAGTACCGGAACGGGTTACTTCCGGATTTCGGTGCATGTGCAGAAGCACTAAATTGCGCTTTGCGCATGTGCAGAAGACCGAGTTGCGACCCGCGCATGTGCAGACACGGCGCTGTGGGTTGCGAACGTTTCAGGTTGCAAACGTGCTTCCAGCACGGATCATGTTCGCAACCCGAGCGTCCACTGTACTGTGAAAGAGTTTCTTTCCATTTTACTGCTAGGAAATTTCAATGTAGTTAGCAACAGTTGCTATACTGTTTTAGATGCTAACGTTTACAATAACTGCATCAGAAAGGCTCAGACTCAGAATGAAGACAGACGTATAATTTCCAGTGGTGGAAGTGGTTTTAGAGGAGAATAGGACATTATTTTGCAACCTGGGGTGACCTCTGGAAAAAAAAGAGGCCCCTGTAGGTTTCCATCATAGATTTTAGCATCAGGACACAATTATTCAGGGCAATTATGCTGCCTCTTAACACAACTGCAGCAGCTCAAGTGAAATCTACACATATACCACAGTGACTTCATGTTTGTCAATGTATATATTGATTATATTAATATTAACGACAGATCTGCATTATTCAGTTCCAGGGTCAGAAGGTGTTCCTCTACCATTCCATTATTTAATTTGTTTGCTTTGCATTGCCAGGAACCTTTCGGATTTATGTTGTTCCCTTTCCGGAAAACGGCAAGGCATGGGTGCTGGTGCCAATGTCAGGTCTCGTAGTTGCTAGCAGGATCAGGATTCTCAAACAATTGTAATAACATGGTCAGGGAGATGCACAATGGCTGAAGTAAAACATAGGCGAATCAGCCAAATGTGACCACAGCTTCTGGTTCTAAGCCGGAGTCAACATGAGAAAGCTCACTTGAAGGAACGGTGCCAGTGTCAGTATAATGGATATATAGTGTCAGGCTGGGATCAAGGAGGCCTGAGTTCAAATCACCGCTAATGGGTGAACTTGGGCCGGTCATTTCCTCTCTCTCAACCTTACCTGCTTCAGATTCGTCATGAGCACAAAACAGATAACTCAGGGATAGTCAATGTGGTTTCCTCCAGAGGTTGCTGGACTCCAGCTCCCATCATCCCTTGACCATTAGCCATCTGCTGTCTGGGGCTGATGGAAGATGGAGTCCAAGAGCCTCTGGAGGAACCAGGCACCTGGGATAATGGCATGTAGGCTGGCCCTACTCCCCTAAGGGAACGCAGAATAATTAGTAGTAGCAAAGGGGGGGGGGGCACATATGGAATCTACCAGGTACAGATGAACTAACTGAACTAAATCGTGGAAAAATTTGGAATCACAAAAAGAGTTAATTAATATAAC